ATGCCTCCTCCCTCAGCATCTGTGGTTGCAGTTTTACTCATCCTTGGGTCAGTGCCTGCCCCTCCCTCCGAGGCCAAGCCACCTCAGCTGGAGGTTCTTCCACTCCTGAGCCCCTGAGCGCCAGTTAGCCTGCTCCATCCGCAAGGCAGTCAGAGACACAGGCTTCTCACCCTTTGAAGTTAGACAGAAGTGAGCATGAATCCTGGCTCTACTTTCTGCCCTTGAGCAGATTATTTTACTTCTTTAAGCCCTTATTTCATCATCTGCAAAATGGGATAACAATACCTACCTCTTGGGGTTGTAGATTAAAGATTACTAAGGAGATTTGTGCAAAGCAGCCTGACCCTGGTCTAGCACTTGGAAGGTGCCCTAAAATGGTAACTGTTGGGTTGATGACAATGATTATGATGCCAGTGATTATGCTGGAGGAAGAGGTAGAGGTGCAGGTGGAGGCAGTGTGAAGAGCAAGAGGATCTTTCTCTCATCTCTCTCTCTGCCTTTCACTAAGATGATATGTAATCATCACTTCCTGGAAGATGAAAGCAATAGGGTCAGTGATTCATGGGAGAAAGATCCATAGAACAAATAAATTCTGGCCCAGACACTAAACAGAAACGCAGATGTGACTTAGTTTTTGGAAGCTGACATTAATGACCCTGCTAACCAGTCACAGAACAAAGCAAGCTGTCAGATCCAGCGCAGACTGTAATGTGCAAGGTTCTCTGCTTCCCTGCTCAGCACTGGGGAGTCTGAGTGGCCTCTTGACTGGAGTGTGTATAGCTGCAGATGAGGCCCTGCCCTGCATCTCTCATCTCAGTGCGTTCAGCTCTAGTAAGGAATCCCAAGGGGTTTTTGGGAGTAGCTCTTGCTGTTTGTCCTCCAGGGCCTCAAACAGAATAGCAACAACTGTCTACTTCCTATTATTCTGTACGTAGCAAGAAGAATGCTAGGTGCCTCGCTCATATTTCTAACCCTTACAAGTATATTATGTACCCCATTTTTCAGATGAAGAAACTGGAGGATCTGAGAGGTGTTGTAATGTGCTGAAGGCTCCTCAGTAGCAGAAGGAAGAGCTGGGTTTAAACTCATGACATTAGCCTGGCATGGCCCATGCTCTCCAGCACCTTCCTGAGACCCCCACCCAACCCAGACTTGGGGCTCACAACTCAGTCAGGGGTCCCCTCCCGTGTCAGTATCTCCTCCCTCCCCCAGAGGTAACTCCTGTGACACTGGTGCTTCTGCTTCAGCATAGGAGTACCAGGTTCAATACAGAAACATCTTAACTTAAAGCCAAGAACAAACTGAAATTAAAAGAAGAAAGAACGTACCCTGAGCCTTCAGAACTTAATGCAGAAAGTAAAGCAGGAAAAAAAAGAAAAGAAAAGGAAAAGAGCATGAAAAATCATCATCTATTCTAAGTGTAATTTTCATGACTGCAAAACATTCAATGACTAGACTCTGGGTCTGGGATACACAGGTTTTGTATGAATTTATGTGGGCGTAGCTTTCCTTCTGTACGTGGATGAGGGTGAACGAGAGGAAGAGGCTGCCACACGTGGCATACTTTTTTGTTTCCTTCCAAACTCGATGGTAGGAAGGAAGTGCATGTATAAAAATGCCCCTTCTATCAATGGAAGACCAGGAGATGTAATCTCAGGCAAGCTCATGGAGGTAAAGGGCTGCACAAGACCACCAATGTAGGAAGCTGTCTTTCATCTCTATATGTCCCCCCCTTCCCCTCATTGAGACTATTTAAGGATTATCCTCAATATTGGGGAGTCCATAAATCACATACAGTCAATTCCCAACGTCCACATAATATTCGTTTTCTCCTGTCACCCCTCTCCTTCACAAAGCAAACACACCAACTCTCTGCTTCCTGGGTCCAGTACTGGAATCAGGCCTTCCCCTGCTGTTCCAGAACTTCACTGGGTGTCAGCCACCTCCACTGCCATGTGATGGGAGGGTATGGCAAAGCCTAGCACTGGCGAATTCGAAAAACAGGGCGATGTGCTGGAAGGAACTGTGGTCTGGTTAAGTTTCGCTGGGATGAGAAAGTGGCAAAAGCTGGGGAATTT